TTATAACATAACACAAATATGATAAAAAATTAAAAAAATAACATGATTTAAAATTTAATAATAATTATATTTGTTTAACAAAATTTTAAAAATATATTTTATATTTTCATATTAACATAAATTATAATATGTGATTTTTGTATAAAATATAAAACTATATATATATTTTAAAAATTAAAAAATATATATTTTATATTTTTATGTCGATATGAATTTTAATGTATGATTTTTATATAAAATATATAAATTTTAATATTTTAATAATATAAAAACACAAATCATGAAATATATACGTACCATATCAAAGGGTTTAAAATGGGTTTAAACTTTTTGAAAATCAGAGAAAAGTAGTGATAGTCTTATAGAAGAAATAAAAATTGGGCAATAATTAGATTAACCACTCTTGCCAAATAAAGTGAAATTACTTGGTGCTTTAGGCTTTTGAAAGCTCTTTTATGCTGATTCAACAACTCTTAGCCTAGGTTCCTTGCTTTTCTTTTATGATTCTGAATTTCGCATAAACCTACTTTAGACTAGTCCACTATAGGAAATGAAATAATCAATAATACACAAACTAGATTAGGTGCTAAGGTTTTAATTTAACACCATCAAATTTTCTTAGCATTAAAAGATATATGGAAAATTGGACAGGGACGTTGAAATTAGATAATCCATTGCCCCTTTTTTTGGAAAAAAAAAAAAAAGAGTGAACTTGCTCTTCCCATTGCTGAAAGGGCTATCGTCTTTTTTAGTGGTAATGAGTTCTAAGACTCTGATTAATATATTTTCTTCTCTATTTAAATAAATTTATTTTACGTCAAATTTAATAAATTTATAAAACATTATTTTATCATAATATTTTAGTAAATTTAAATTTAAATAATAAAAATATTTTTATATCACTTAAATCGGACGTCCGTTAATAATCCAACAAAAGGAAAATTATTTGATTGCCTATTGGACATCTTAATTTCATTTCTGATTCTTCTTTTTCCATAATTTGAGAATATAATTGGTGGCGTGGGGAATCTTTTCCTTTGTTTCAAAGTTACTATTGATCAGTAATTTGAACAAAAGATACATAACCTTGACTAATTCGATGGTTATAAATTTAAAGCACAAAATTAATCACTACAAGTAAATTGAGTTGGGTATTAAAAAAAAATCTGGCTCTGTCTATTACAGTCAATCACGAAAAATAATCATTATTATGATAATAATATCAAGGATTTAAAGAGTAGTTTTGAATCTTATATCGAATATAAAAAAAAGATCATTGGAGTATATAATGGTTCACATTATCTCTTTTTTGTGAGTCACCTTTTTTAAGATAAAATCGTGAAGTCAATAGATCAGAACGAATAATACTTCACAAGAGTATGAATCGTAGCAAGTAATTGATCTGAAACATCGGATGAGTGTATGCTCAGATCCCAAAATCGCCTGAATTCAAAGCTTAAATCTCGATCTGTGACATTAACACATCTATCATTAGGAAAATATAATATAACTACTTACCACAAAAAATTATAGATATAATTTAAGCAGTATCTTTAATTAAATTATAGTGAGATTTATTCTTCATTTGGATAATCAATAAAATTTTTTTTCTCATTATACCATTATATTATGTTGGAACTAAATTTCTTTTCATCCAAAATTCAAATGAAACTTTTTAAGTCAATTGGATTGAAAAAAAAAAAAAGTGTGCCACCATTATAGAAATCCCTTTTAATTTTTATTCTTTTTACAAATTATTTTAATAAAATCACTTTTTGAGAGGAAATAAAAGCACATATATTTTTCTCTTAACGTAAATTAAAATAAATTGTGAATTATTTGTTGAATCAATTAACATATTATTAAAGTTAATACTTAAAAATTATAAATTTAAAAAAGTTTAAATACATAATATTTTTTTAATTAGATATATAATAAGATATAAAATTTTAAAAATAAATTAAAAATTTTAAAAAAATTATAAATTAAAATAAATTAAAAATTATAAGATAAGATTTAAGTGGTGAAGAAGTGGGTGGAATTGGAGAGGTGCTTCGTGATGAAGTTATCTGTAAAATATTAGAGAGGAAATTGGCCAGAAGTTTTTCATGTAGTAATGAAGTTGGAAAAAGCAAACATCCAATTCAACACGTCTCTTGACGTATTATCTTATCATCTTATGTTTGTATATATTTTGAACATGAAATTGAGAAGACCGTACGTCAATGGTTTGATTGCGACTTTGCAAAATTCATTCCAACTTTAATACCAAAAAAAAAAAAAAAATCAGAAGAAGGTCTAAATTTTTTATATTTGACTGTTGACCTGTATCTCCCCAAATTGCCCATCTAGTTTAACACAAATTACCATTTCTGACTTGAGCAATTTTGGTATTCTATGACTCTTCTGCTCAAATAAATGTGATTGTTTTAGGTTAAAATATGTCATAAGTTTTTTTTTTTTTTTAATTTTAAGAATTTAATTCCTTTAATATTATTTAAAGGAATTTAAATTTTATAATATTAATTTTTAATAATTTTAATTTAATCATTAATAATTTATAAGAATAATTTTTTAAAAAATAATATTATAATGAGTAAAATCTTTTTAAAATAATATTACAAGAACTAAATTCTTAAAAATAAAAAATTACAATGACTTATAACATATTTGAACATTTTTCTTATAATTAAGTATTCAATTAAATATAGGAATGAAAAGAAAAATATCCTTGAAATGTCATGAATCTTCCAAAGATTTTCTTAGCTTGATGCCGTATTTTGAGCATATGCTAAGGTTTGGACATTAAATTTTTTAAATATTATTTTTTATGAATGATTATATAAATTAATTAAATTAAATTAATTCAAATTAAATTTTTTTGTACAAAATTTTATAAAAATTTTTATTGTCTTGAAGTACAAGCACAACGTCCCAAGGGCCCATCAACACTTTGGGAATTCTTGTTATATTATATGGTCACTATCTTCTTTAGACCTTTGTCTACCTTTCCTTCACCGTGGGGTTTTTTTTTGGCCTCTCACCCACTTATTTTCTTTTTTTTTTTTAACCTAAACTTTCTCCACCTTTTGAAAACTCATAATAATATTATTAAATTTGGAAATTCACACTTAAAAATAGACCTACTCATAAGTTAGATTAGAGTTAGTATGATTGAATTTGATATGATATTGTAATATTTTAAATAAATTTAGGTTTGATTTGATTTGTTTAATTTTATTTTTTATTCAAATTTATTCTTACATGTAATAATAAAGTCAAAACTCATTCAAAATATTGATATTTAAAAATAAGAAAAATAATTTTTTTTTATTTTTTTATTTTTTATAAATTTAATTAATTTAATTAAATTTATAAATCATTTAAGTTTAGATTCAATTTAATTTTATTGAATATAATTTAAAATTAAATTATTATTTTGTATAAAAATATATATTTTATTATATTATAAGTAATAAAGCAAACCGATTTTATCTATTATAAAAAATAAACAAATAAATTTTGTCTTATTATGATAAAAAATATTTTTCATTTTTGAATCAAGTCAAGACCTTAAATGATAAAACTCAAGTCTAATTTTATTTTTTGATCGAGTCTTATTTATTTATTCTAACTTATTTAATAAGCTTAATATTCATATTCAAACATTTCAAAATTTTATATAAGCTTTTACAAATTTTAGATAAGCTTTTACGTTCGGACGCATTACCTGATTTACGAGCATGTCTACTTAAAAACCTCATTAAATTTAACATCCATTGAAGGTTGGAGAATTGCAAAGCATTCAGCTCAATCTCTTTCTAGCAAAAAAAAAAAAAAAAATCTATCCTATTAACTTATAAAAAAATGAAAATTTTTATTAAATTGGAAATGATTTCAATCTCCTCCAAGGTTTGTCAGTATTTCTTTCACTAGATGCATAAAAAATAATTTTTTTTGGAAATTTTATAATATCATAGCTTTATTATTATTTTTTAAAAATACAGATCATGTGATTCATTGTTTAGAGACTATCCTTCAACTTAAACTCGATTTAAAAAAAAAAATTTTTTTTTTTTGATGAATTGATTTGGTTTTTTTGACCATGCAACTCATATTCACATTTTACAGTTAAAAAACTGTAATGATCATACGGATACACCATTAGAGTGAAGCTCTGCTCCTGTCAAGCCATGATTCAAACCAAAATTTGCCAATGTTTATTTTATCCAAGAATCTCTTTAGAAAAACGTGGTTTCTTTTCTTTCATATAATACAACTTGTTTCCTACTGAACTACCAAATGTAACAATGAGGAATTGAGAATCTTAAAGTAAAAACTACCAAATGTTCCCTTCATGGGATGACTACTCTGACCTTCACCAGAAGAAGTTCCTTAGTTTAAATAAAAAAATAAAAAAAAACCAAATTTTTAGTACTAGTTTGTTTTGTAAGGGTTTGGAGGGCCCCTTTTATAATCTGTTTTAACTGAAAAGAAAAATAAAAAATGGGATGAATAAATAATATTGACTCTTGAGTCTTGAGTGGGGTCTTAAGTCACCGAGCTGAACATTTTAGTACTATTTCAACAATATTTTTTTTTCAGATACACAATCAAGTAAGAAATTTTATTGACATTTCCCAGTTTGATGACCTTTCCCAAATACATTTCTAACCCCAATTTGTCAATTTTCTATGCCTACTTCTAGCCAAATATTATTGTATTGGAATGTATATTTGAAATATTTTTTGGTTAGAAACACCAAAATGGACGTTCACAAACTACTTGCCAAGAATAAGGGCTTTGTTGAATTTTCCATGCAAAAACAAGGGTAGTTGTAATTTTTTTTTTCATTTGAAAAAAAAAAAATTTTGCTTTTTAAAGAAGAAATTATGCATTTATTGTTGAGTTATATATTAAGATTTAAGAATGTAATTTTTTATTAAGAAAAACATTAATTTGACAATTTTTTATAACCAATTGTGCTCTAAAGAAAAATGTTGTCAGATTTTAAAATGTGAAAATAGAAAAAGAAAGAAGATTTGACTTGATTTTTATTTTTTTTGGGTTATCACTGATACGCTCTCCAGCAGCTATGTGCACCGACGGACAAAGCAAGCATTGTCGAGAAGAGTTTTCTCTCTCTTCTTTCTGCTACAATCCGAAGTCACAGTCCGCGCTGGCAAAGATTCCTTCTTTTTTCTTTGCTCTAGTGTAAAATTTTCCTGAGAAACAATCACTATTATCATGTTTTTTGGTTTCTTCATCTAAATCTGGTACTAAACCTTGTTGGGTCTTTTTTTGGGGGGGAAGTTATGGGATGTTCTAGTTCAAAGTTAGATGATCTCCAGGTGGTTGCGCTTTGTCGGGAAAGATGTGCTTTTTTAGATGAAGCGATTCAGCAACGTTTTGCCTTAGCGGAAGCTCATGTTGCTTACACTGCTTCTTTGAAGTTATTTGGTCAGTCTTTGAATGATTTCGTCGAGCATGATTTTGGAACTTCTTCAGGGGCGTTGCCTCCTTTACCTCCGTCCCCTAATAAGCTTAAAAGCAAAGCGGTGGATCCAGTTCAAGTTGGATCAAGTTCACCCAAAAAAGGTGCTATTTCTCACCACCATTCCCATTCGAATTCTGGGTCTCATCTTCACTTCTTTCCTGATTCAGATGAAGATGACTCTGGCGGGTCTTTGCACCATTCAGATCATTCTTCTCCTTTGCACGATGCTGGTGGGAGTCATATAGACTATATGCACCAAAACTATCACGATTTTGGAGCTTTTGGAACTGGGTCTTTTCCAGATGGGTTTATGCATATGAATTATATGAAGAAGCAACCAACGCCGTCTATTGTTTATGAGCAAAGGCCTATGAATCCAGAGACAGTTTACATGGGTGAAGGTTCATCTTCATCTTCTTCTTATCCTTACTCTTTTGTAAGTAATAATAATCCTAGTTCCAGTTCATACCCTTATCCGGGTTACCAAAATTCTGGTGGTTTTAGTAATTATTCTTCTTATTCGGCGCCTGGTTATGAGTCTTCACGGCAACCGTCATCGGTGGCCGCGGGGTCATCCTCGAAACCGCCGCCTCCACCCTCACCTCCGAGAGCTTCAGCTTGGGATTTCTTGAACCCTTTCGAGAGTTATGAAAACTATTATCGTCCGTCTACGCCGAGTCGGGATTCGAGGGAGGTGAGAGAAGAGGAAGGGATCCCTGATTTGGAAGATGAGGATTATCGACATGAAGTAGTTAAAGAAGTGCAAGGGGATCAGAAATTTGTTGATAGCAGGGGTTATTCGAAGTCCCCAGTTGAACATGAGTTTGGGAAAGCTGTTAGTAGTGAAGCAGAGGCTTCGCTTTATCAGACTAGGCCGAGTGTTGGGATGGAAACTGATGGGGTGGAATATGATGTTCATGTGGTGGATAAGAAAGTTGTGGATGATGAGAGAGCTGAGGAGCGCGGTAACGGGTCACGAGGCGCTCCAAGGAATGTTTTTGAGGTGGTTAGAGAGATAAAGGTTCAGTTTGTGAGAGCTTCCGAATCAGGGAGTGAAATTGCCAAGTTGCTTGAGGTGGGAACACTTCCTTATCAGCGCAAACATGGTAAGGATTTTCATTATCTTTTACTGGATTATTGTGTCATTGATTTGTCTATTTTCTTGATCTATAAAAATTTTCTGAATATACATCATTCGTGGATTGGAAAGTTCTGATTTTTGCTATATATATATATATATATTATATGGGTTTTTTTATTTGCAGCTTGATTAGATTGTTTTTTTTTTTTTTCAATAAAATTTGGGTTTTCTCTAACAGTAATACTAACTGTGGGTTTTGGGGATCTTTGTGAAACAGTTTCCAAGATGTTGCATGTAGTTTCTCCTTCATTATCAATAGTATCATCTAAGACTGCTGGGTCTTCATCTTCGGCTGACAACACTGATCCAGCTTTTCTAGACTTCAACGAAGAATTGGCCAGGAAACCAAAAAACCTTTCGTCTACTTTGCAGAAGTTATATCTTTGGGAAAAGAAACTCTACAATGAAGTAAAGGTATATTGTATCTTGATGATGTATTGCTCATTGTTGAACTTGGTATCTGTTTCTGCCCAACCCTTTACCCATCTTCTCTTTAGAATTTCAGATTCATGATTATCTAAAAATGCTGTATGGACTACTTGATTCTTGACTATTGGTATTGGTTTTACATTTGGTTCTTTTAATTTCAGTGTATTGTTTTAGAATATGTTCGATTATCTATTATTATATACCTGCCCATGTTTTAGCTTAATTTGATATATATCTCATTAAGAAACTGTTTCTCTGAAAGTTACTGCTCTCAGATATTCACCTTTGAAGGGTTCATGTTGTTGCATCATGGATAACATAATAGTGGTTTATATTTAAAATTATGTCGTTTCTGCATCCATTTTAGGAATACCTTGTGATCGTCATGACTTGGTTTTCTGGTGGCATTGCAATGGCTTAGTAATGGCCAGGGTTAAGAGCAGTTGTGCCTTTTCTTTTTTGTAGCTCCGTAACCTTTCCGATCCTCTTTAACTAGAAGTTTCTGATGCAATGCAGGCTGAGGAGAAGATGCGGTTAGCTTATGACAGGAAAAGCCGCAAGTTGAAGCGACTAGATGAAAGGGGTGCTGAAGCTAACAAAATTGATTCAACGCGGAATATAATCAGGAACCTATCCACAAAGATAAGAATTGCAATTCAAGCTGTTGACAAGATATCCATGACAATTAATAAGATCAGGGATGAGGAGCTATGGCCACTGCTCAATGAACTGATTGAAGGGTATTATTTCTTCTTGTTTAACTCTTTGCATTTTCCTATCTCATTCTGCATTCTCCACTGACATTGCTCTTTAGTCTTAACTTCTTAAATGAGTATTTTGCTCGTAGCTGACATAATTTAGTCTTACTTTTGGCCTTGCTATTTGATTCAGTTTATTTGATTTCTTTAATTAGCATCTTTAATCAGATTATTTGTTGCTGTCTTTATTGGTTGCATAATGACATTTCTTTGGCATATTTTAGTAGTTATTATTATTATTTTTATATGAATCTCTTGTCCTTGCTGATTATTATGTAGATATGCTGTCGAAACTTGTAACTCGGTGTACGGTCAAGAGTGTTGAGAGGTGGATGTCAATGTCTGGTACTGGCCTGAGAGGTCTTAAAAGGGTTTGAGTGGTTAAAGAAAGTAAAAAAAAGAGCTAGCAAACCTGCCTCCAGTCAAAAGATTCTTCTACAGTTGTTACTTATAAGGATACATGCTGTTAGATCATGCTTTTCTTTTCCTCTTTTTCTTTCTCTTTATGTGGATTCTTGAAATATTGGCATCAAATTTTTGACGGGTTTGGCCTATATGCATAGTTACTATCTTGGGAAGATTATTCATTTGAGTTTCAGGTTTATTGCTTGAGATTCTATACCTATTACTGAAAGGATTTTTTCTTTTTTGGTACATTTTTCTTCCCGGTTCTGCTTTGCTGGAATTAGAAGACAAATAGTTAAACCGGTTACTAGATTTATGTGCATTGAGCAATAATATGCTGTTAATGAATGTCTTAGCTGTTGTGTTTGGGAACATAGATTTGAGATAATGTCTTTCAATTTGGTGTGTTATGTAAATAGTTTTGATAAATGTAGTCAATATATTTAATTTTATAAGATTCAAATACCTGTGTTTTTGATGTATACAGATAGTATGCTAAAGAGTGACTTTGAAAGCAACTTCTCAATTGAGTATTTCAAATGCACCTTCGAACACTATATAGTGTATAATTTACAGGACAAACCAAGCTCAAATACACTTTTGTGAGATCATGTTCACAAATGTAATATGGGTAGACTTAATTAACTGCTTTTGAAGACATTTTATTAAAGTTGGTTATAAGTTGCTATATGAATCAAGGCCTCAGAAGTAAAGCAAACCTTCTTTGGCTGCAAGAAGTGTATGATTTCTGTGGTATTAAATTGCTTTCCAACTGAATCTCTTGCATGCTTTTCTATCTGCTTTTTCTAACTTGATTTTTTTTGTCGTTTTTCATGGTTTTCATTTCCTTGATTGTACTGAATTTGCAATTTTTTCTCACTCCAAAACTAAAACTTATTGTTTACAATTATCTTTTTTACGATTTTCTTATGTCATTTCCTTGTAATTTGTTTTCAGGTTAAACAGAATGTGGAAATGTATGCTTGAATGCCATCGTAGTCAGTGCCAGGTGATTAGAGAAGCCAAAAGTTTAGGTTCTATTGGATCTGGCAAAAAGCTCAATGATGATCATCTTAAGGCTACATTGCAGCTTGAGCGTGAACTTATTAGTTGGACGATAGGGTTCTCTAGTTGGATAGGTGCCCAGAAGGGTTATATCAGGGCTTTGAATAATTGGCTTCTTAAATGTCTTCACTATGAACCTGAAGTAACAGATGATGGAATAGCTCCGTTCTCGCCTAGTAGGGTAGATGCACCCCCCATATTCGTAATATGTAATCAGTGGTCACAAGCAATGGATAGAATATCTGAAAGGGAGGTGGTTGAATCTATGGGAATTTTTGTCAAGAATGTTCTCCAGCTTTGGGAACAAGACAAGTCAAAAATGCATCGGAGAATGATGGCCAACAAGGATTTAGAGAGAAAAGCTAGGAGTTTGGATAGAGAGGATCAAAAGCTACAGAAAGAGATCCAAGCATTGGATAAGAAAATTGTTTTGGTCTCTGGAGATGGAAGTAGTCTCTCAGTAGCTGGACATGTGTATCAGAGTGAGACTAGCAACAGTAGTTTGCAGGGGAGCTTGCAACGCATTTTTGAGGCGATGGAAAGGTTCACTTCTGAGTCCTCCAAAGTCTACAAGGAGCTTTTGCAACGTGTCAAAGAAGGGATTACTCCAGAGCACGAGAGAGTTTCATAGGGCTGTAAAATGAAATGAATTATGCCTTTGGATTGATGATCTAGTTTACAGTATGCAGTCTGTTGCCCTTTGAGAAATGAAGCTTAGTGGTGGGCTATAGACGGGTCTGGAAACGGACAACTTGGCTGGTTGCTTGTCTATTAAGGAGGACTTTGCTATGAATCGGATGATGGGGGAAACAAGATTGGAGCAAGCCTTAGCATTGTTAATGTTGAGGTAATGATTAACCATCTGCCTCTGACAAGAATAGTGTCAGATGGCCTACGCAGAAGTTAAGAGATCAGGAGGAGCAAGTGGCTAGGTGTTGCAAATTGCAAAGCTTTCCAACTGATTTTTTGCATTTGCTCATTCGGCGGTGATGAGAAGGGAGAACAATTCATGGTGTCCAAAATCCTACTCGAAGTGCAACTCATTGTTTTCTATCAACTAATTGGCATAGAGCAGCATCCATTGAAAAAAATCGGCCATGCTTCTGCAAAAGAAACCAGCGCATGTGGCCAAACCATCGGAGTAAGCAGATTCTCCATCAGTTTTGCATGATTAAGAGTTTTAAATGTTGGTTTTTTTGAGCATTATAGAGTGATGTTAGTCATACGAATACCCACAATCAAATGTTGTACTATACTGCAATTTTCTCTTCCATTTGGAATTAAATTACATCAATTTTTGTATAGACGACAGTTCAGACAGCCTGCAAATAGAAATGAGAAGTTTGCCTGCCTTTAACTATTGTCTACTACGTTTATTTTTTATTTTAGATTTGACATTTTAAAATATAATATTATGATATGATATGAATATGATATGAATAAATATAAATAAAATATAAAAATAAAATAAAAAATAATACGATTTAAAATTATAATATAATTATATATGAATTTAATAAAATAAAAAAATATATTTTATATTTTGATATCAATATGAATTTTAATATATAATTTTTATATAAAATAGGACACAAATATATAAATTATCATCTTTACTTACAATACTAACTCTACAGTATTACTGTTAACATCTTGATTAGGACAGTTGGGTGTGAAGTCCGAACCATGCAGTAGAAGATCCGAGGAATTGGTCATGGTCTAGCTGATATGATACTACATTTGATTCAATGTTTTTGAAAAAAACTGTACCCAAATTGACAAAGTTACAGCATCTTGTAGTACAGATTCACTGTTACGAATTTTGACAGCTGAACTCTGTCTGAACTACAACTGTAACTGCATGATTGATGCAGAAAAGAAAATCCAGGAAGATTTACCCAAAAAATTCCAACCGAGAAAGAAAATGAATTACCAACTAGATTCATATACTCGAGCTTTTAAACGTCACATCTTTTGATTCTTGCAACACAAAACCGATGACTTAAACCGATAACTTAGGGGTCGTTTGATATTTGATATTATTATGTGTTTTATATTTTATGTTTTTAAAATTTTTGTTTTATTTTTTATTTATTAAATTTAAAAATATGTTTGGATAAATTTTTTATTTAAAAAATGAAAAAAAAACATAGTGATTAAAGTTTTTAGATTCTATTTGTTATTAATAATATAATAATGTTTACTAATATATTATTTATTAATATAATATTTTTATTTATTAATATATTAGTTTAATATATTATTTATGAATATTATATTATTAATATATTATATATATTATTAAAATAATATATTAATAATATAATAACTTATTAATATAATATATTATTAATAAATAATATAATATATTATATAATAAATAATACATTAATAATATATTAATATATTATTAATAATATATGATATTAATATAAATATTATATTAATAAATATTATAAATAATATTATATTAATAATAAATAATATAATAAATATTATATTACTAATATATTAATAAATTATTAATAATACATTATATTAACATAAATAATAGTTTAATAAATATTATATTGATATTATATTAATAAATATTATAAATAATATATTATATTAGTAAATAATATAATATATTAATAGATATTATTTAGTAATAATATATTATTAATATATAATATCTTTATATTAATAAATAAAATTATATTAATAAATAATATTGTATTATTAATTTAATATTTTTTATTTATTAACATATTATTTATTAATATAATACTTATATAATAAAAATATTATTTTATTAATATATTATTTGTAACATCATTGTAGCGATATAATTATAATTTTTGTGAATAGTATCCGTGAGATAACAGTGCCAAATTGTTTCCAAAAAAACTAAAAATATCAATTTTCTATTTTAAAAAATTTTCAAAATTTTTTAAAATTTTGTTTTCAATTTTTAAAAATAAAAAACAAAAATAACCTACCAAATGTATTTTTATTTTTAATTTTCAAAAAATAAAATAAAAACAAAAAACGAAATAAAAAATAAACGAATGCTTCCTAATACAAGTTGAATGAATTCATGTGTGAATAATACAAAACTCTGTGTCAGAAATAAGTGTGTAAATGATATATTAATACTTATAAATTATTTAAGTTTGGTTTGAATAAAACTCGAATTTAACTTAATTATTATTGAGTTGAGCTCGAGCTAAATAATTTAATTTATTAATCGAGCCAAGTTTTAGTATTTTTATATCCGATTTAAGTTATTCACGAGTTTAATTAAATTTTTATATTTTAATATATTTTAAAATGAAGTACTAGTAATAGAGATTTTCAGGATGCATCAATTATAAATTTTTCAGGTTTTTTGTTACTTATTAATTTATTATTCATTGTACTATAATTTAATATAATTTTTCATTATTAAAAATTTTATATATATGTGGAAAATTTGAGTAATATCATAAGAGCATGTTTTTAATTTTTTGATGGCATGAGAAATTTTTTTTATATATAAATTTCGATTATTGCTTTTTATATGTAGTTGACACAATAATTTATTCTCAAATTTGAATTTTAATTTAATGAGTTTTTTTTTTTAATAATTTTAGACTTTGGTTGATTGTGCTTAATTTTTTACTTTAATTAATGGAATATACTGAAAAATTGAATAGATAAAATTTTTTTTTAACAATTAAAAAAAAAGTGATAGCATTGTATTCAATTTTCTATGTAATAATTTTTTTTTAAAAATTGAGATCAAATTACTTATAAAAAACTAACGATGATATATTTTTAAAAGATCTGAACCATGTAGCATAATTTTTCTTGCTTGGTGGGAGAATATATGCTTAATCTCTTCTTATATTCTCATTAAACCCAATTAGAGCCAAACAATGACTCGTTTAAGTATCTAAAAACAAATTGAGGAGAATTACATGAAAATAGTTCAATAATAGGTGTCTTGTAAAATAATAGTCCAACCAAAACAAAGAACAACAATGAATATAATTTAACTTCATAAGCTTTTGATTAATTGGTAGGAAAAAGACTTAAATAAAAATTTTTAATTGAGTTTTGTAACATTTTTTTATTAAAAATTGTTTAATAAAAATTAAAATTGAAAATCAAAGTTAGTAGATTGATAGAGTTCAATGAAAAATCAATAATATATTAAAAAACTATTAAAAATATTGTTTTAATTTAAATTTGATGAGTACTTATTTAACGCTAAAAACTATTTTAAAATTTTTACTAAAAATATCTATTTAAAAAGAAAAATTATTTGATACACTGATAATGAGTTTTTTTTTTTTAACTATATAAGTGGGATTAAAATGGTGATACATGTGTAACTTTTTTTGTAAATTAATTTTTTAAAACTTTTTAAAATATATATAAGAGATTTGTCACCACTTTAACCCTACTTGTGGAGTTAAAAAGCTTCACTATCAGTGTATTTGATAATTTTTCATTTAAAAAAAATTAAATTTGATTATTATTTTTTAAAAATTTACACATCATATATATAATAACATACATGATTACCTAATAAGATTTGTTGATGTATATGCTTATGTGGATAATTTTTCTTTTAGACACAAAAAATTTCTAAAATTTCTCTTTATAATAACACATAAGATATTTTCTAATTTTATATTCTTTATAAAAAAATATATTTCACACATTATTGAATTATCCAAAATTTAAATGAAAAACCAATTTAGATTTAAAATAATTAAATAGATAAATTTATTTTTTGGTAAGATTTTATTTAAATAAGTAAAATTAATTCTTATTTTTTATTTATGGATTAAGTAAAAATATTTAAAAAATCATTTGTTATCTAAATCTTTTAAGATATATTTATTTGAAAAATTTTTAATTATTCAAATTTTTTCTTTCGATGGAAAAAAAAAATCATCTTTATCTATCAAATATACCTTTAGATGTATCTTAAAGGTAGTATTATAAGTAAAAATTATAAATACAATCAAATATTTTCAACATAATATATATTCATACTAAAAATTAGTAATAGATAAATCAATCAAATAAAACTAATATATATTAAGTTGAATTACAGTCACACAAGATGAGATTTAATTAAAGATTTTTTTTATTAATTTAAATCAAAGTGTATACATAAGCTCTTATTGAGTTATGAAAATAAAAGGAAATTAGATGAACACATAATAGACATTATTGGACAAAAACAAAAAATGAATGGTCAAAGCAAACATATATAGAAATTAAATAATTTATTTTTAAAACACTCATTAAAATTTCATGATAAATATGCACTAGTTATTTTTATTTTACAATGATAAGGGCAATAATACATTTTTAAAATTAATTTTTTAATGATTTAGATATATATTTTTTTAAAATTTAAAATATCAAATATAATTTTATCTTAATAAATTTCATGATAATCTTTTATTATTTAAAAAAAACCAAATTTAATCTCCTCATAATTTATAAATGATTCCTTGATATCTTAATTCATTAACATCAATTTGATTTTTTTGTCATTGTTCTCCACTTTTATGTGTTCTTTCTTTTCTTTCTATATTAAGGAATAAAAACACAAACAAGAATCAGGTAAAGCATAACTAATTGAACTGAAGAATTTACACTACCAGCGTCTAATACCATATATAATCTGATTATAATATGATAATTTAAAAGTTGTTCTATGCTTAAACTTACTTCAAGAATCCACAAAGTAAATATGGAGTTTTTCCATACCCACATACAGTGATTCCTTCACAACCTTGAGGAGTTTGTTCAAGCTTTCTCATAATAATTAACACTTTTAAATTTATTTTTGAACAATTAAGTAAAAATAATTTTTTAATTCATAGACAAGAGAAGTTGGAGATGATGTAAACTAAACAAAATTAATTTGAAGTGATAAGACTTTTAGTTTTTATGTTAATATTTTAGTGTATTTAATAATATTATTTACAATATTTTTGGGATGTTTTTTCTTGTTCTAATATTATTTGCAGTATATTTTAAAATTTTTTAATTTAAAAAATTTTTATTATAATTTAATATCTTAATTATATTATTTATATTTTACATATATTTTAAACGTGTAAATGATTAAATAATATTAATTTATATAATATTTATATTTAAATAAAATAAAGATACCTGATAACAAATTCGTTTGATCTATATACCAATATTTTTCAATTTTTCAATTGTAATTTCCCATTTAAATTTTTATTAAATTATTTTTAATAAAAAATTTGCCCAGTTTTTCCATAGAAGGGGAGGTACGTAGAAAAGTGACTACAACTATAAATATCACTGTCTTAGGGTTGAAAATG